AAAAAGCCACCTTACCATCTGCAATTTGCTTGTTTTCTGATCTGAGGTCTGTTATAATTCCAAATTTTGGTTCTCATGATCAGAACAAATGAGAGCAAATTGCAGAGGAATGAGAGGAAATAGATTGGATGTATTTGTGTCCCTTATCTAGGGCAAGCAAAGGTGTGCTGTGCAGGGGTCCAGCTCTGACTGCAGTTTGTGGAGCTACGTGGGCTGGGTGTCCTTTAGGACAAACCCCTCCAGGGCTGCCTGCCCTTTTCAGTGCAGATCTCACTCCCTGGTAGCAGAGGGCAGCAGGGAGGATGGAGCGACCCGCTGCTATTGCTAACAGATAGAATCAGTGATATGAAGCATATCATCCTTCTTCATTTCCTCATCACGTTGAAATCAATACACTGCCTCACCCAGAGGGCTCTTCTGCAGGCTGAGCTCATCCGTTACTGCGCTCCACCTCCTGGATTTACACCAAATGTTCCATTTCTCCCATGTAACAAATGGGCCCCGTGTCAGTGCTGCTGATCGCATCTCAGGCTCTGTAACCTCTGAGCAACCACACCAGAATGATTCTGTGAGGGTGTCTGCATGCATCAGTGATTTATCCAAGGCATCGTGTGTTCTCCCGTTATGACTCAGTCTGGCAGTTTGTCACTGCAGAAAGTGAGAAAAGCATGGCTGCCTTCAACTGAAATCATGCGTGCCTATGAGGAAAGTGTGAAAGGGTAGGGCACATTTAAATAGAGAGGAATGAAAGCTCAGGGAGTGCTGGAAGAAGTTGTCTTGAGTTACTGCGTCCAACCCTTGCCTACCAGGATGCACAAAATCCTGGGGGTTTTCATGCAGTGTGAGTCAGGACTGGTGGGTCTGTGCATATAGAGTTGGCTATAGAGGCTCAGGGCGTGCAGCTGCTTGGAGCTACATGTCCTTGCATTAACTGTCATCTTCCAATGCCTCTAGGTTATGAAAAGGTTTAATGAGAACAATTTTCGAGAGCTTTTATAGCCTTAATATCTCGAGACCTTTCAAAGCACCATTGAAGTGCTGCTGAGGATGGCTGGGCAGCCCCTACCTGACCCTCCTTCCCTGGGGGAGTGCTCAAGAGGGCCTCCATGTATGTGTGTGAGATCTGTGCTGCAGCAGTGCTGCTCTGTCTGCAGAATGGCACTGCTGCAGGCAATAATGAACTGTGCAATTAGCAGCCCACTAAATACATGTTCAAGGCACGATTTGGCTAGCAAAGAACACGGTAAAAGCAAAGACAGCTTGAAACAACTGCCATGCAGTCACCTAGAGTGGCAATATTAATTTGAGGGGCTGTTGATTCCCAGTGTACGGCTTTGTCTTCCTAAAATACGCTTTGTGAGGTTTTCTCATGCTTATCAGATGTCCCTTTTTACTTAAAAGTTGCTGCATTTAAAGAATGCTTAACTAGATTAATAATCCTGTGTTTCTAAAATGCCACCTGCCTGCAGGCAGCAGGAAAGATATTAACAAATTTCCCTGTCCATTCTGCTGCTGCCAGGCCCTCCTGCTTCTGCAGTCCGTGCCACTGCATTTCTTAATTAATGACTTACTAAGATCTAAAGATTGCACTCGAGTGTTGTCATTGCCTCTCCATCTTCCTATTTCCCCATAGGGCAAACAGAAGTAAATTCCAAAGAATAGTGTTTGAGAGAGACACCCCAGTAACAATATACCAAAATTCTTCCAAGAATACAGGTCAGGGAGGAAAAACTTTAGAAGTTTGTATAGGAAGACCAGAGCAGCTTCCCAGGATGGTTTATGCTCCCATAGAGTCAAGTGCTCTGTCAGAAGAAGCTGGAAGCAAATCTCATTCCTTGTGCTGCAGAAGACCTGAAATAAAACCTTAAAGGTTTGTGAAGCACCAGGAAGATCAGAATGGCCAGGAATGGTTTGTATGGGGCAGGTGGATCCCAACCTCAGAGCTGGGGATGGGTCACTGCTAATTGCAATTGGGTACCCATCCCTCCTGCTCTGTTATTTGTATGCAATCGGTGGGTATAATGCTGCAGAATTACTCTGAGTACAGCAGCACCTGTGCTTTGTCTGCAACGAAATACTGCTTGAGGTGGTTGGGTGGCATCTGCTCATTCAAGTTTGCATTCAGAAAATACCTGACATGCATGAGGGGAAACAAAGCATCAATAATGTTCTCCTTTGTCCTCGCAGAAATGAGTTATGTGAATGCTCGTTGTTAACAAAGCACAGGAAAATGAGGGCTGTGTGATCCATCGGGAAGGAATTACACAGCAGAACTGCTCCCAGGTGCTGACAGTCCTTGGGATGGACCATCCATCCCATCCCCACGCCCTCTGAGAATATGCTAATATGCCACTTAGTATCTATGAATGCTAATGACCCTAATCAGCCTGGCTGCTGCATCTGTCGTAGCAGCCAGGTTTGGCAAAGGCAAAGATAAAGTGCTGCTCTGCATGCTGCATCTCAGGAGAACTGTTGTAGTAAATTCAGTTATATGTTCCCGTCCAGGTTAAATGCAAATAACTTCCTCAGTGCTACGCATCTTGATTATAAACTTCTCTTTTGGCTGAGCTGTATTTTACTGTCTTGAAATCTGCAGTTTGCTGCTTGCTTTTCCAACCCCTTCGCTGCCACGTTTACACCAATAACATCTCCCTGCCCTGGAACCCTTCCCATGTCGTGATTTACAAATAAGTGATATTTATTAATAAAAGAAAACAACAGCAGGGCAAAGCCATCAGCAAGAAGATTCTCTTTGCAAAAGGTGGCCATTAAGTCTATGGGGGAAAGGAGAAGCAATAAAATCCAGACTGTAACGACGGGACGATGCCTTATCGCAGGGCTGCAGAGCCGAGTGGAAAACAAACTGAAATAAATATATGGAAGATAGAGAGCTGCAGAACGTGGGCAGGATGGGGGCTGTGCTCAGCCTGGAGACACAGGCAGGGCGAGGAGTGTCAGCTCAGTGGCCAAACTCCCAACCATGCAGTTCCCACCTTAAGCAATGCCATTGGGTCTGCACAGTCCATCCAATAGCGGCATTGAAACTAATTGCTATGGAGGAAAAATGCTCCTTACCACAGAGAGAGCAATGGTGTGACAGTGCAAGCACTTGGGAGCAGATGTTTAGGAAAGAGAAGGAATCAATCTCAACCTTCTGCTTTGTTTATCCTGTGCGCTGAGCAGTGATGGGTGCAGAGCTGTGCGTGCGTGGAGCTGCGGTGGCTTTTGCCTCTCCTTGGCGCCTGTTTGGGAAAGTCACTCTTTATAGATACAGAACAGTCATTCTGCTACTGTGAGCTCTTCTGTAATAAAACAGGGAAAGGCACCGCAGCCAATAAAAGTGAATTAATAACTAGAGACAACAGAAGCCCACTTTGCAGGCCAGCATAAAGCAATGCTTTGCTGAGGGAAGGAGAGCGCATCAGTTTACGAGCAAACAGGTCAGGCCTGAAAGGAATGGGCCATGCTGTCTTTTCTCCTAAACCTGTGTGGTTTATTTGTGTGGTGGCACAGCTGTAAGTAACGTTCTGCTGAGGAGCAGCACATTTGGAGCCCAAGGATCCATGCATTGGGCTTGCACATGGGGATCCTCTGCTTCTATGAGCAGAAGTACAGAGAGAGGGACCTGAGTGGGATGGGAAGGAATGGCTTCCTTCAGATGGGACGAGCCCCCTCCTGTGTCCCCTGCTTGCTGTCGGCCCTTTGGTTGTGCTGGTCTTGTGGCACAAATTGGAAGGCTTAATTATTTCAATAGAGGTTAATTGCATTAGTCGCTACAGCAAATCTCCAGTTCGCGCTGCGCTTTCCACTTCATTTAATTCATTACCCCTGTGAAATTCGGTGGATTCCCACATAGAATTGATTGTTAAGCTCACACATGTCCCTTCCAACAGCAATCCTCCATGCCCACCCTATCTCTCCTCCTTCTCTTCTCCTCATTGCTCCCCTGCACATATGGGCATTGGTGGCTGTGCTGTCCAGGTCTGCACCCAGGGGCGCCCATTCTCTTCCTGCAGCACCTACACAAGCAGTGCTAAATGAGCTGTGCACCCTTTGCTGTGAGTCTTTAAGAGCAGCTTCTTGCAGCTTAATGTATTGCTGTAATAGTAATAAATGGGAGTACTGAGAGTTGGGGGTGTTATTTAATGAGTTTTACTGCACCTTCTATGCTAGGCAGAGATATATCTCAATAGCAGAAGGATTAACACGAAGGCATGCTTTAAAAGGGAAATGAATTTTGTGCTCAGAATCGAAACGCAAACTCAATAAAGAACAACAAAAAATCTGAAAGCACACAGATTTGACCACGGCCAAGTTGAAATTGCAGTGCAATGGACACATGGCGCTCCCAATAAAAGCGACCCTCAGAAGGCCAGAAGTGAGCTCTGGGATTTCTCCTCGTCCACAACCTCCGCTCCGACGCAGATAACGCTGCTGAATCCTCCAGCAGCAGCTGAGGAGCGCTGCCATGGGGAAGGGCATTCAACAGACTGCCTCAGAAAGGCACTCGCGGACTGCAGCGATGATGGCAGCATTATCGTGCGGTTGGTGCACACCACCCTTTGTGTGAATGCATTGATCATTTTCTACGCTGAGCGCAGTTTAACATCTGACCACTCTAACTCACAGCAAACCTATTTTGGATAAATGCAAAAGGAAATGTTGAAAAGAGCGCTGGAAGAGGCATTTCCCTCTGTGAGAGGTGCCAAAGCCAGCAGAGCAGCAGCCCTCTGCGTTACAGCCTTCCTCTTTTCTTCCTCTTGCTGGTTTTTAGTGTTATTTAATTTCCTTATCACTGCACCCAATTAAGGTTCATCATTCCTCTGTTTTCACTCGCCTGGCGGTGCTGCAGGCCGTTCTGCAAAGCACAGCTGTGCATGGGTTTCCTTGTAGAAATGGTTGTGTGGCACTCACCATTACAGCCCTGGAATCCAGCCCAGTTCATTAGTGCTATGTTCCATCCTTCAGCATTGATCTCGGTTATTTGTTTGTCTTTTCAGCTGTTAGCTCGGGTGATTGTTTGCATAATCATGCAGAGCGATCTCTGTTCCTTCACGAAGCCGTAAGACTGAAACATAACTGGCACCATGGAAGGAAGGCATTGCTACTGCAGGAAGGCATCAGCCCGGGCTCCAGCACAGCAGATGGAACCCCCAGATCTGCAGGAGCTGAGGTGGGGACCCCCATCATGCTGTGCTTTAGAAGCTGTCATTGTCCCTCTCTGAGCCTCACGTTTGATGCCATGAAGTGGCTGGAGATGACTGTAAGTCAGTTTCGTCTTTGCTCGCTGTTGACAGGAGGGGTTTGCATGCAGTCACATTGCCCAAATGCCCAAATCCTCTCTGCTGAAATGTGCAGGGGGGGAGGTGAGACATTTCCCACCTGTTCAGCTATTTTGCAGCATGGTGGGATGTTTCCTATTTTGAACTGCAGCTGCAGCTTTAGGGATGAACTTGTAGAGTCAAATGTAAGGTAAATGCCAGGGGAAGGCGTTTTTAAGATGCAGATCTCTGTTTTATTACATAGAGAAGATTTTCTTCAACATAATGATACTTCTTGGAGTGCACGATAGAAAACTGCAGCCATGGACAAGTAGTGCTCTCAGCTCTCCCTCTGATCATTAGCCCTGTGTGATCATTAACCTTCACAGGGTAAACTGCCTGCTTGCAGTTCGTTGTTGATAGTTAGCAGATCTTGCCCTGGATGAAGATCTGGAGATGGGTTCTATGGAATTCTGCAAACATGAATGTGATCCTGAGAAGAGAGGATGAGGAGAATGTCTGTTGCTGCTGCCAATGGGGAGCAGGGAGGTCAGTCCAGGGGATGGCTGGGGACCTATCAGCAGCACCACATCATTGCTGGGAGGGCGAAGGGCACGTGGAACACTTCATCTGCCAAGAAATGAGATACATATTTATTTGGGAATCTGATACACAAAGAGCTTTAATAACTACACTCATCCAAAGGCAGCATCAATAGAAATGGCACAGCCTGCTGAATGCCAGTGAGCGAGGAATGCTGTTATTAACATTTAGCAGAAGCTCCAGGTCACCTTGATAACATCAAGCTAACACACATTTTAATGGCTATTTAATTAGATTTACCATAGGGAAGATGCCATGCAAGAAGGTTGCATTCCAGACTCCTGCGCTCGAGATGGGGACTGGATTAAATAAAAATGCAGATAGAAGTCTGCAAGTGACATAGAGGGTGAATTCATTTTCCCTGTTGGATGCAGCTCCCGTTCTGGTCTGGATGGCTGTGTTGTTTTACCTCTGCTCCAGGCAGCTGCTTGCACAGCTGTGGCACAGCACTGCCTTCGGACTGCAGCAAAGCTATTCCTCAGTGGGTGATTTGCTTTCAGGTGCCCGGATTGCTCAGCATCTTGCTGCAAAGCTCCCCCTGAATCACCTGCAGGGTGCTGTGAGCAGGGCTGGAACAGGAGGGAGGGAATCCATCTGCTTTCCAGCAGCAATTTGCTCACGTTATGGCGAACTGGTTCCTGCATTAAAGAACAAATCGCTCATGTCCACCTTCCATCACCTCTGATACCTTCGTAGAGACTCCAAGGAGCGTTTTGTAAAGCTGCCAGTTGTTCTTCATAGAAAATAAAACGTGGGAACATACTGCTGTAAAGGGTATGACACTTCTCTCCGTGGATTTATTAAAAAGGCTCCCAGTGTAAAGACGGATACAATTTGATCAAGTCAGCAGTTCCAGCTGTGTAATTGATATCCATTATTCTCTATTGACTGCTGGGCAGGACTTCATTTTCTGTAGCATCAACAAATTCCCCTTCTGCCCACCACAGAGCTGGGTTTGGGAGCAAGCAGAGCTGATCAGCGAACAGAGCAGAAATCCCAGGAGAGCAAAAAGGCATTTTGCTCAATTGTTTCTCATAAGCGCCCGCCTTTATCCAAATCTGCACTATTTCTTAAATCACTGCATTTCCATAGGGCTCTCCTGCAGTTGTGCTGTGCTTTTGCTGGGGAACAGAGAGAGGGTGACAGTTTCTATTCCTGCATGATACGATTTCTTCTCTCCTGCCCCTTCCTCCTGCAAATCATTTGCTTTTCCAGGTGCTTTGGTATAAACTTATATCACTTTATTTCTGGTTTTTTTTTGCTTCCTATCTCACTCTAAGAAGGAGAAAGATCACCTCATTCCCACCGCTTCAGAAATAAATCCTTATTATGGATTTGTACCTGGGATAGAAAAACGGATTTCCACTCCCAGCCAGTTCTGAGCAGATATTTGAAGGTAATTGCTCAGTCCAGGGACATTTCAGTTGCCTAATAGCCATAAAAAGTGCTGTTATTAGCTGTGCATTTGAGGGTGGGGCTATTTAGGAGATATTTATTGAGAGGGTATTACTGCAGGAAGCTTGAGGGCCTGAGATTTATGGTTGTATTTCGAGGTGGAGCAAAGGGGAAGAACGAAACATCCTCTGCGTGTCCTTGGAGCCCACGGCACCGAGGCTGTGGGGCACATGGAGGCATGCCCTGCGCCTTTGGTTTGTGTTGTGCCTTGCACTGCTCAGCTGCCAGCTCTGGAAGCAGCAAGCAGCCCTCGCCGAGCATCCAGCTGCTGCTAAAACTTTGATGAAAATACTTTTCATTATGCATGGTGAGTGACATCTCAGTTACACGGCTCATCTCGTGGGCGCAGTGCGGCTGTTCAGCGCTCGGCACTTTGGGGGAAGAGGTTCTCTCCTCACCGAGCCTCCTTCCCACCCACCGAACCCAGCAGAGAAAGAAGACAAGAGGTTTCCCTTTACACACGTCACGACAAACCCAAAGCCAAGGTGCTGGAGCTGCCTAAAAGCCTTCCTGTGTTGGCAGCTGTGGGCTGAGAGGTGCAGCACATGCCTGCATGGTAATTAACAGCTTTGTCTCGCACAGATTGATTGCAGAGGCGCAATCTTTGCGCGCGGAGCCTTGTTGAGCATTTCCTGCTGCTGCCTGATCCTGCTCCTCGGATGGGCCTGGAGCAGAAGGGTAATTAAAGAATTGCTGCAGCTGCTGGTTTGCTGCTCACCGCAGGTTGGGCTGCAGGCAAAGCAAGCGGCCCAGGGCTGAACACACTGAGAAGGAGATGAGAGAGGAAAAAACACAGCGGTGTTCCGAGAGCTGAGCTCTGGCTGCCCTCAGAGCAACCAAATGCTGAAGCAAATGCAAAGAAACACTCCGAAGTGATGTTTTTGGCAGAGGTTGAGGTGGATGTGTCCTCTTAAACACCCTCTAGATTGCCTCTAGACCTGAATAGTGATGATTTCCTGTTGCACAAAGTGTGGTTCCTTCGTTTTCTAATAGCCCATGTGTAAGAAAGCAAGCTAGGAAGCTGTAAAGCTGAGTGTCTGAAAGGTAAACAGAACCCCAGCCATGCTTTTCATCTAAAGAAGCAGTTTTAGATGTAAAGAGATGGATTAAATTACATTTGAGTGACAGATTTAAATTGGGATTCCTTTCACAGCTCCACATCCCTGCTCTAAATAGGAGACTTGGGATTAGGGCCATTAAATTACACAGTTTATTGGAAAAATAAAATCTCAGGAACAGATGATGATGAAAAGAGATAGAAAAGCAAACTGAAAGAGTGTTAAAAATTATTAAGCTAAGGTAGCAAATGAAATAGAATGGCACTAAAACTAGATGGCACATAAGAAATGCTCTGAAAGTGGTAGTGCTGAGGAGGGCTGAGGGCTGTTAAAGTGCAGAGCTGTGCAGTCAGATGGATGAGCTTGGCGTTGCCAAGAGCTTGCAATGGTTTTTAGCTGAAGGTCATGCCCTGAAGTAAGGTACAATTAAAACAGGAGAGAAACAAACTGCTTTGGAGTATTGCAAGTGTCCAAAGCTGCGTAGCTTCTATAACCATACAGCACAAAGAAACACCTTGCAAAGGGGTGGGGGAAATGAAATGTGGCCACAAACGGAGCTGAGCCTTGGGCTGTGCTTGCTGCAGGTGGAAGGCAGTGATGTGCTCCTTTCAGCTCCCAAGGAAGTTGCTTCCAGCCATAGGGATGTGCGAATCTGCTGTGATCAGCCCTGGCTCTGCTCTCTGCTCAGCAGTGCCAGCGCTCCTGCACCAAACCAGGCAGGTGTGTTTCTGCCTGCTGGCTCTGAACAACTCCTTTTCACCTCTCTGAGCCTCTCCATCTGCACTGCCTGCCTCATTCTCTCCAGTAATTACACACAAGGCCATGGAAGGAGATCAAATTCCGCCGTCTCCTTTGAATCCTGAAAACTGTCTCTCGATGGCACCCTTGGGTCTCTTTGAAGGAAACAAATTAAAACGCTGCAGCCCAGACGATTGCAGGTAGAGCCGCGCACCGGAGGACCCAGCAGTTTCCAAACAGCCCTCTTTATGGCCAGCAAGACATTGCCAGGAGATTGATTTTGCACCAGGGCTGGGGAAATTCCACTGCCCCAGCCATGATCCATCACCACCCGCCCAGAGGAGATGAGGAATTCTTCATCCCATTCTCGAGCAGCCCTGTGATTGCAGGAGGGGCTGCAGTGCAAACTGTTTTTTCCCTGCCCGTGAAGAAAGGTTCAGAAGGTTCAGACTCAAGTGAAGGGAGCAGTGCTCAGCCCTCCCTTCTCCTCCTGTCACCATCCATTGGGTCAGGCTGCTCCCAGCACATCGCTCCCCATGCTGTGGGTAGGGCTGTGATGGTTGGCACCCATCCTGAAGGGCTTTTACCCCTCTGTGCTTTGGGTATATGGCGCATGGAAACAACTTCTCTTACATAAGATCACTGCTCCGTGTCCTGTTGCCATTGGAAGCCTGAGGGATATTTTGCGTAGATGCTCAAACACATTGTAAATTAAGAAAACAAAATAGAAACCAACCCCAAACACCATATTGTGCTGAGACTGTTTCTCTTGCTATCAGAAAAGCTCAGAGCGAACCAGTTCATTCACGCTTCCCCCTTCAAACAACTGAAGAAATTCTCCATTTCTGCTCTCATTAATACCTCTGCAGCCCTGCATTGCTGTCTGCAAGACACAGTGGCCACCCCATAGCACAGACAGGAGAGCACTCAATTCAAAGTCTGTGTTTTGGGGACAGGAGGCTGTGGAAACCATTCAGCGCCGTGGTACTTTCAATTATTTTTCTGCTTCTGAAACAGCTGCTATCAGATTTCCCCAAAGAGCTGCAGGAGAAACCAGGGGAGATCAGATGTGACATTCCAGACTTCTAAAGGGGGAAAAAAAAAATTAGAATAAAATAAAGCATGAGAGAGAGACTCCTGGTTATACTTCATACATTTAAAGGGGGATAAAGCGACACGGAACCGTCTGCAGGTCAATTCTACATAAAACATCAAATAGAGGTGGGAGCTGCTGCTCACAGAGGGAACAACGCTGGGGAGCAGCAGCCCCAGAGCAATTTCACAGCACAGCCACCCAGGGAGCCCCACAGAAATAATGGGGCTGTCAGCACGCCCTGTGTGTGCTCATGCCTGAGTGAGGAACCCGTGCAAAGCTAAGGGAAAAGCTCTCATCTCTGAGTCACAGCCCTGCAGTGCAAGCTGTCCCCCCAGGCTCTGCCCTGCAGCAGAAGGAATGGCACAGCCATCAAATTGCTGCAACTTTAGGCAACATTTGAAAGCCCCGTGCTTAATAAATATTGAGTTCCTCTGACTAGCAGCCATAAATCCTCATAATATTCCAGCCAGGAACCTGATGGACACTTGTCGCAAGAGGCAACTCTTGAAAAATAACATAAAAATGGAAAATAATAAACATTTCCTACAGTAAATCTGAGCCAGCCCTGCTCCTGAACCAATCCCACCATGGATCCAGGGCTGGGGTTGGGTACAGCACTGCCCCAGGGTTGGGAGCACCAGCTGCAGGGCTCAGGGAGCACACAGCTCTGCAATTAACAGCCACCTCCTGCTGATGGCTTCTTAACTGGGAGCAGCTGAGGCAAATTATAAAATTAAAAGAAATAGCTTGAGAAGGGAAATAAAAGCAGTGTCTGTGAGGTGGAACTGCTTTGCTGTGAACTGAATGTGTCTCAGGCTGGTCATGGCTCAGTGGAGCCATTCCACGCAGCATTGGATTAACTCATCAGTAGAGAGCCCAGAATCTGATTTAATTTGAAAGACTACAAAATTATATTTCTCTGCTGATTTTCCAGGTGGTAGGATTAGATGTGGAGCTTTTAGTTTCCTGCTCTTTCCTTTCAACTTAATTTGACAGAAATGGCTTTTGGTACGAGACGGTATTTGATGGGTACTGCATCAGGGATAATGAAAATGTCAGACAAATGGCAGGGAATAATTGGGGTAGCGTGCTTTCCTCTGTGTGGGAATGTGCTGGGTTTGGTAAATGAGGAGGAATTTGTCCCCTCTGCAGGAGAAGGAACAGCTCTGAGGTAAGTGCCTGCTCGGTTCCTAGAGCACCAGGGATTGCTTTGGTCCCTCTGCTTGGAAGAGGGGGGTTGGCCCCTGGTTTGCTTCTTGGGATTGGATCAGTGAAGACCTCAGAAATCCTCAGCATCAGGCATGCAGCCTGCTGCCTTCATGCTGTGCTTTGTTCGTTGTAGGGAATCGCCAAATGAGAAGCTTTCCCTTGTTCCAGCCAATTTCTTGGGTTTATTTACCATGAAATGTCACCTTCTCAAATGAAAGAGAGGGATTTATCACAATTAAGGGAAGCTTTGACACGTCCCTTTAAGTGAATCGAGCCCGCTTTTAATCCCGAATCCATGCAGGATTGTGTTGATGCAGCACAAATTCCCTTGCAACTCACAGTGCCCATAAAACACTCGCGTTCCTGGAGAGCTGTTGCATAATCCTTGCTGCTTCCAGCAGCTCTGGCTGTGAAGCTGCCAGTCCTTGGCCTGTGCTGGCTAATGAAGCGTGTTTATGGTGTGGAAATGTGCGTGCTGACGTCGTGCAGGATGCTGCTGGGTATCGGTGCAGCACAGCGTGGTGACCCAGGGCAATGCCTTGCCTGAGCTCCTCCACCCGCCAAGCAATGGGGGCAGTGCTGGCTGTTCTCAGCTCTGCTGCAGGCTGTGGGTGCTGAGCTGAACCCTTCCCTGGGGTCTGCAGGCCTTAGGATCTCACCAAGTGCTGTGTGAGTTCAGATGCTTTCCAGTTTTTGTATGGTTTTGATAAACGTCATTTGTGAAAGTGGAAAAAAATAAAGCTAGCACGAAAGCAAATAGACTTCTTTGCTCCTGGGTGGTTATAAACTCCCTGCTGGCATTAAAGGTAGCAAACACAAGCTGAGATAGTAGCCATAAAGCAGCTCCCTCTGCCTGCTATCTCATTTTTGATGCCCACAGAGCTGGTCTGCAAAACTGAGAGCTCACTTCTTACTGACGAAAGTCACCTCTGCTTAGTCCTTCTCAGAGCAAAGAATTCAGAGATCAGATGAATGGTGCAGCATGCTTTGTGCTTGTTTGGTTTCCCTTTGCTGAATGGCATTCTGCTTAAAGTCAGCCAAGAGCAGAAACAGCCTTAGTCTGGGCTGTGCCAAAATCCTTATGGTGGCAGAATGTCTGTCCTCTGTCTAAGAAATGAGCCATGGAGATTCCGTCAAAACTTTCTCAACCAAAATGCATTTGGTTTTGGTTAAAATCTGTTGTTTTGCACACAGAGGGGCAGCAGTTTGGCAGCACACCTCTATGGCTGCTCTGCACCAAAGCAGCAGTTTGCAGTTTCTAAAGGTGCTGTTAGCTTTGCGCGTTGCTCTCCCTTGGTGGGTGAAGGCTGTGCGATGCTCCACGTGGTTTCTTAGCAATTCCACTTTGGCAAAAGGTCGTGGCATGAAACACTGCACAAAAATGTGTTGTTCTGGTTGTTGCCATAGCGTAACTGGGAAACCCGGGACGCGCCATGGACGTGGGTGAGTCACTGCAATGAAACATTTGTCCCAGATCTCCTTCCTTGCAAACCTTGTGGTGTGTGTGAGCTGTGCAAGGCCGGAAGGAGCAGCATCCTGGGTGTGTGTGCTCAGAGCACGAGGAGCTGCCAATGCTGAGGGCTGCTGTCTGCACGAGGGAGGCCTGGAAAAACTCTTCTCGCAGGGCTGGAAATCACTGTTTGTTTCTGCTCGAGTGCAACTTCTGCTATGGCAACGCAGAGCCCAACAGCGTGGCCCACAGCGTGGTGGTGTATAGAACCCCTCATTTGGAAGCTGGTGCCAGCTGGGAGCTCCAGCAGGACCAAAGCAAAGCCGAGGCCAGAAATGCAAATTTCCCACATCCCATTTGAAGCTGGTTTTATTACAGCTCGATCAGTGTTGCAACCACAGGAGGGCGGTAAAAGTGCTTTCCCAGCTCGCCAAGACTGCTGCGTTTGGTAGAAAACAAAACTGCTTCAAAAGGAAAAAAGGGGGGGGTGAGATCCTTAATACCTGCCCAGAGCACTTGGTGTGTGTGTGTATGGGCTGCTTTAACAGGCCACGTTTCCAAAACGCATTGCCAAAAGCAGCTGATTGCTTTCTGGCCCCACACTCAAGTTTCTGCTGCTGCATTTGAGGCTGTTGCTGAAATTTCACAGTGCTGGCATGAGATGCTGAGCACAGTAATGCTGTCAGGCGGGCCCAGGAGAGGAGGGAATTAATTGATTCGTAAACGAACTGAAAGCACTTGGCTTTCTTTGTGCCAATTGCAGTCCCTTTGCTTCATGCCACCAGGCATTGTGGAGCAGCACGGTCTGCAGCACACAGCAAGCTGTGAGGACTGGCAGCAAGGCTTGCAAACAGCACAGCATCTGCAGCTCAGGTTGAGCTCCTGTTAAAATACTCAAACTCCCCTCCAAGTGCTCTGAAAACTCATTGCAAAGGCTTTCTTTTGCTTTGTCCCAAGGTGACTTCACCAGCAGCGCAGTTCTAACCACAAACCAGGAGAGGTTTCCACTTCTCCCCTCTGTAGGCTGCGTGGGCTGCTCTAAGAGCGAGGCTTCCAGAGGCAGATGGAAATCAGCTTTCAAACCCAGATTTATTCCCCCAGATTAGTTTTTTGAGTATCAAAGGAAGGCCAGAAGGTCACAAAGTATGCAGCAGAGCAGAAACTGTGCTAGGAAGGCTGAAGGAGCTGGGAAAGCCAGAGTGATTTACAGGCTGTTCCTGGGACCTCTTGGTGACCACAGTTACTGCAGGGACACCTCAGCCTTAATGCACCATTCGTATACAAAGAGTATTTTCAGTTTTAAATCTCTTGTGAAGGGGGAAGTTTTACATTACTGGCTGTTCTGTCGTGTGTTTACAGAGGCTGGAGAAGCAATTGAAATAGAAAACTGGGTCTTGTTTGAGTGGCTGCTGGGTGCTCTGCAGTGCAGCAGTGCTGGTGCCGGGAGTGCAGGGCTCAGGGATGCCCTGGCAAGAGGGAGAACACAGATGTGAGCTCAAAGGAGCTCATGCAAAATGGAAATGGTATGAAAATGGGCAAATCTGCAGCACTCGGTGCTCAGCTGCTGTTTAACCTGAGTTCTGGCTCAGGTAAATGGGATTTTGGTGGTTGGTTGGAATGGCTGGTGCAGGCTCAGGGGTGTTTCAGACAGTTGAGGATGACTCTGCTTTGCTGAGTCAAAGCTCCATCACCCTGCAATGGGCTCCCATCACTCCCTGTCCTTCAGAACAACCCCTGCATGGCAACCTGGGAGTGGTAGACCGAACTCCTCTTGGTTAGGACCTGAGAAACAAGTGCAGACATGGAATCCCCCCCCCCCCCAAAGTAGTGGGTGTTATTTTATTGGCTTTCCACTGGCAGTCTGGGTGTTGGGTCCTTTATCTGCAGCTGTGTGGGCAGAGCTCATGTTGCAAACGTGGTTCCCACAGGATGGCACAGGAGCAATCGGGTTGAGGGCCTGTTTGAGCTGCTTCTGAAGAAGGGCTCAAAGGTGCAGGTTGCACAAGGGCTGCTGAGAGCAGTGGTGCAACAGAGAGCAAAACAAACAGAGCTGAGGGGAAAGCTTCCCCTGAGGCAAAGGGGAGCACTCTGAGTTGTGAGGATTCATGGGCACCTCGCTGAGCTCAATTACTCACCTGAGAAGCTGTAACATACAGAACAGTGGCTCTTACAATTAAATACCAAATTACATCTGATTTGTTTACTTATGGCAGGCCTTGAGCCCTCCCATCAGCCGTGCAGAGGTGTGTGACAGCATCCTGTGGGTGCAGCAAAACAGAGGGGGTAATGCAGGAAGAAGGGGAAGGAGCATCATGGCAGGAGCAGGGAGGGTTTATCTGCAATGCAGCGGTGTGCATGCAGGCTCTGAACTCAAGAGAGGCTGTGCAGGTTTGCAGAGCTCTGAACGTGGCTCTGTTGCTTCCTGCCATTGCAGCGAGGGATTTGAGGAGGCAGAGCTGTGCTTTTGGACGTGAGGAGTTTTCTTTGAGAAGTGGCTTAAGCAATCCTTCCTGCTGGGCCACGCACCCACGTGGGGAACATGCATGTTCTGATGCTGAGGCTCCAACCCCATTGCAGAAGTTTTGTGATCTGTGCAGGAGATAAAGTGTCCGTGAGTTTGTTTGGAGGAGCTGCTCCCAGTATCCCAATGCATTCCCATACATCTTGGCATCTCTGCTCATCCCCATACATCCCTGCAGTGCAGTGCAGCCATGAGCCAGAGCTGCACACTTCGGTTTCTCCAGGTGTAGATCATCAGTGAGCTTTCAGATGGCTCTACAAGCAGACTCCAGACCTTGTTTTTACCACGCTGCTTTATATAACATTTTCTATTTGCCATATTAAAAAAGTGCCCTAAAAGACACTGGAATGCTACAGCAAACAGAATGTTCTCTGCACGTTGTTGTCTCTAAGGAATGCCTGTGGATGGTGGGGGGAGGTGTAGGTCACTTTTTTTTATCTGATCCACAGATAATTAATTTCACAAGGTAGATAAAGCAAACACAAAGCATTAAAAAGCTATTTTATGTCCTGGCAAGTTAGCTGGGGAAATATGCTTCTTGGCTTTCATAAATCTCTCCAACATCATAAAGCATTTCTGCATGCTTTCTATTGCTGCTAGAATGGACAACGCTCTGGGAAGAGCCTTATTCAAGGTTTTACCTCTGCACAAACTGCAGCTCTGCCCTCTGGGCAGAATTCTGACACAGCTTTGAGTGCTGCCTCTGTCTGTATCTCCCTCAGCCCTCTGCAGCTGTTCTGCACGTGGGCTCCAGAACAGCATTCAGGGGAAGGTGGTGATTCAGATGTGATTCAGAGCCTCCCCAAAGCTCTGACAGAGGTGTGGGGATGGGTGGCTCAGCAGCAATTTGTGGAGTGGCAATCAGTGTTGTGTGTGAGAAAGGGAGAGACCTGGGTGTGAAATGCTTTACCGTTTGGGATGGCAGGAGAACTTTGAATAGAGGCCCAGCTGGAGAATGTGCACTAGCACATCATGTTGGCAGTTTTTTTTCTTTCCTTTGGATTAGGCAAGTCAGTTCAAGTTCAGATATTCAGTGCTTGGTCCCTTGGTATAGACATCACAATGCCAGAGCAGAAAGAAGGCGGGCTGGGAAAGCACCGTGTGTTCTGTACAACATTTGTATGCCAGCTCGTCTGCTTCCTTGAGGCATAAAAGCACCTTTGCTTTGAGAAGACGATGTCTCAGAATGAGATCTCCTATATTAGGATTCTGATCGTAGTTTACCTTTTAATTTTTAGCAGAGATAAATGGCAACTGTGCCATCTCCTCTTGGCTACAGTCCTATGGAGGCTTTCCTTCTCCTAAACAGCCTCCATCTATCACACCAAAATGGCACTGTAGTATCGTTTTGCTGCTTGTGAAGCATTTGTGCTCTGAAATCCCCAGCCAGCCCTTTGCTGTGAGAAGTGCACTACCCTGCCCATAAGCTTCATTACATCCCTTCAGTGTGCTTCCTAGTAGAGATGCAGCCATAGCTGAGATGTGCTCTGCCTGGTGCTGAGCTGGCTTTGGGTGCTGCGTGCTGGCACTGCCTGCCCAACGGGTGTTTTGTGCTCAGCTCCTCGCCCACGGGTGCCGATCCCTCTGGGTGCACCCAGGCTGCTGAATCACCCGTTTGCTTTTTCTACGTGTGGGTAATGCAGACGTGGAGCTCGGCTCAGCAGTCAATGTTTAACTCACCCATTGCTCAATGGGAGGGACGGCTGCCTGGTGCTGTGCTGGAGCAGCCTGTCCTGTCCCTGCACGCAGTCATGGCTCCGCTCCCATCGGACTCTGCTCCTGCAATGTGTGTTTGACAGGAGGTCACTGTCCCCACTGTTGGGACATCAGGAAACATCCTATTTCTTTCCAAAGACGGTGGACCTGTAGAGTTGGACTCTTGCCTTCTGCCAGCCTTGTTTTCCCATCAGCAAAACAGCTGCAGGAGCAGTTTTAGCGGTGGGCATTGATGTCAGATGAGGTCAGGGATTGGGACGCTGGATCTGAACTCCCTTTGCTGTTCCTCACCAGTGTCCAACGAGCCACTTGTTCTTTCACCACCCTGATTGGGTGCTAAGGACTTCTGCTTGCTTTTCTCCCTGCTTCCCTGCCCATTGCTGGCCATAGAGACCCTGCTGGCTGGCTCAGGCTGGGGGTGTCCCCTCGCCCCTTCTTCTGTGGCACAGCACTGTATAAGTCAGATAAAATTAGCTATTGGGACGCATGTTCCTCAGGATGCTGTGACAGAGGGACACCCAGTACAGCCAGTCTGACTCGCAGAGAAGAATTAATGGAAACGCCCGGCTCCTGGGGGGAGGAAATACCTTGAACAGACTTCTTCCTCTTTTTGTTGCGTGGGGCGACAATGGGCTCTGTGTCTGGCAGGAGCATTCCTGAGCAGTCCCATGAAGTCAGCACACGTGTTTGGACAGACACTGAGTCTGCAGCAGCAGCGTTCAGGAAGGACCCGGCCCAATGCGGGTGCCCTGCCCTCTTGCACTGTGCTGGGATCACAGTGCAAAGCAAACTGCTTTGGTGTGCACTCAGCACAGCCCCAAGCAGAGCAGTGCAGCCCTGCTCAGCAGCAGGAGGGAGAAGTGCCTGCAGTGTTTGGGCATTTCTGCTCCAACTCGTCGTCGGCTGTTTCGTAACGATGAGTTGCAGTTTGTACTCAGCGTGCTGGAAGATGCGCTGCTGTTTTGGCAGCTTCATGAGCTGACTACGGTCTGAGGCCGAGGAAAACCACCTTTTCTAAACTGCAAGATCAAATAAGTGCAACTTTTTGGTAGACAGGTTTTATTTTTCAGGAAACCACTTGAGCCAATAACGTAAATGCAGTGAGACAAGAGGGACTGGGTTTATTGATCACGCTATGCAAGTGCACTGTGAGAGCAGTGAGGTGCTGGAACAGCTGCCCAGAGAGGCTGTGATGCCCCGTCCATCCCTGGAGGTGTTCAAGGCCAGGTCGGATGGGGCCCTGGGCAGCCCAGGCTGGTATTATATGTGGAGGTTGGTGGCCCTGCGTGCGGCAGGGGGTTGGAGATTTGTGATCCTTGAGGTCCCTTCCAACCCTGGCCGTTTTGTGATTCTATGATCACAACTTCCTTTGGATGCCCCTCAACAGCAGGGCATGGGGCAGCACAGCACTGGATGCCGGCAGTGAGAGCGGCTGCAGCAGCAGCTGGGGATGCTGTGCTGCCAATATAAGGCTGTCAGCACCGTGCAGAGCTGTGAGGGTGGTGGACACACACTGTACCCCATCACCTGAAGGCTTTGGCCTCACTGAGCTTCTCTGTGAAATATTTGTTGTATGAGAAATGGCTGTGATGGGAAAACCTCCTGGAGCGGGAGGAAAAGCTGCATCACAGAACCCCGGGGGCGGCCGTGAGCTCACAGCTGCGCTGCCCGGATTGGCCTTTTTTGGAAGCAGCCATTCTGAGACGCTTTGTTTTGCTGGGTTGGTTTTTGTGAGGATGCACCGTGGGGTCAGTGGGCAGCACTCTGGGATTGAGCAAAGCAGGAAAGCAGCGATTGCCCATTGTGCAAACCTCGCTTTGAAGCAGATTTTCCTGAGCCGGGGCTGTGCTGGGGACACTCAGCTTCCAGATGTGGTGATGCCATGCTGCTGGGGAGCAATTGCATCTGTTGCAGCACACTGTAATTAATCACAGTTATCCGTTCTCTTAAGTAATGTAAGGGATTATTTCTTCTCTTCCTTGGCCTACGGGCAATTTGCAGTTTGAACTGTAGGATGAAACCCCCCCAGCCCCCCCGAATCGGCTCTTTGAAAATGTCTTTTACTTTGTTTCTCTAAACAGAGCCATGGGAACATTTATTTTCTGGATGAGGTTACTAGAGGGCATGTTTAAAAATAGCCAAGGCTTTTATTTATAAATATTTTCTACATACTTTATCGTGCTGGTACTGAATAACCTCTGCAAAGACGGCTTCTGCTGTCGCAGTGCTTGTAGCCCTCCTCTATTGGTTCAAGGGCTGTTTTTGGCTGGCTGAGCCCTAAGCCCTAACTCTGTCCTGCAGGAATAATGAGAGCTGAGAACTCACTGTTCATTTTTTAGTCTGACTTTCCTGGTGATTCTATTAAAATGAAAATAAAAGTCCACTCTCTTTTATCACACAGAAGAAGCTAGCAGTGGAGTTTGCATTGCAGCGAGTGCAAATTCAGGTCTCTCTGGGAATGCCAGAGTGTGCAGCTTTGGTGCTGTTGGGCTGGGTGCTGTGCTGGGGCCTTGGGGAAAGCAGGGGGGGGCTGCTGGCTGGCAGTGGAGCTCAGCCTGGGATCCTGGGTCATTATGGAGAGGTATAGGCAGACTGCTATATGAAGGAATAACCACAAGAGGAGATCCCCCCTCCTGGAGAAGTGAGCATTTCAGACGAGAAATTATATTTACATTATAATTTATTAAATTTCAGGTCGCCATATGAAATAAATTATAGTCAATATAATGATAACGTTGCCATAAAATAATACCGTGAAGTACTTGTCTAATATCGGATGTAATCAATACAAATATGAACTGCAATTATGGTGCTTAAATATTCATGTTAATGGGAAGTGAACAAAATATTAAGGCAATTCACAGTAAATTCAGGGAAATCTGTCATTATTATTGCTTTTGTGCAAACAATTCTTAATGCAAGCACGCTCCTGGAGAGAGAAAAGGCACAGTCGCACAGTGTCCATAGGGCAATGCATTCCCTGAAGGTGTTGCAGTCACACGATGAGCTTCGATGCATTTCAACAAATGCAGGATGAGGGATGCCCAGGAGCTGATCGATGCCTGGGATCTCCGTTCTGCAGACAGCAGCGAGGCTTAGGAAGTTTCAAACTTCAGCTAAGAAGTCGGGGCAAGTGAAGCAGATGGGTGCAGTCGGCTCATCTCCCTGCTGCAGCGCCGTGGGATGGGGTGTGTTGGGTTTTTTTTTTCCCATCTGGTATCATCACTGGGCACGGGAGCGTTCTGGCAGCAGCACTGGGCACAGCAGCACTGGGCACAGCAGCACTGGGCACAGCAGCATATCGTCCCACCTGCAGCGCTGGGCACGCAGCATCCTGCTGGCAGCACCGGGCACAGGAGAGTCCCAGCAGCATGGAGTTTGCTGCCTATGGCAGCATCGTCCCAAAACGTTCTCCTCCGTGGCTGCTCCCTCCAAGCTCAGTGCACTTTGATGGAATATTTCGGGAATTTCAGGAACTGGAGGAGTTTGTCTTTCCGCCTCTGCTTCAGAGCCATTAGCGCTCTGGTTTTCTCCTCCACGTCCTGGTCTGGGTCGAGGATGATCTTGGCTCTCTCCTCTGCCTTTTTGTCCCCGGAATGCTTGAAGAGCTTTTGCAGCGACTCCTCGTCGATGCTCTCAAAGATGTTGGCCACGGCTTTTTTGCGCAGGGCGGTGTCGAAGCGGTAGCCGTGCACCGACGGGCTCACTCTCAGCGACGTGGACATGGCTGAGGCCGTGTTCCTTCTCTTTGCTTTCATCTACCGCCGCTGCTCCGGAGTTCTCCTTCTGTTGGAGGGATCCGTGAGGTAGCCGGAGCTCTGCGCGGCTTTATAAAGGCAGCCCGAGGGAAAGAGGAGAGCTCAAGTTACAGCGGTGAGGTCACGCTGATGTCAACGCTGCTCGGTCGCAGGCAAGTTTAACATTTAAGTTGCCAACTTTCCTCTGTCGTGCAAGCGAGTGGAACGGTTTGCTGTGTTGTTATGATGGGGGTGGTTTCTTTGCCCCGGTGCAGAATGGGCTTTGCACGACCCCCAGCACCTCTGTGCCTTGGGGACGCTCTGGAAGCCTCTCCTTGTGCTCATACAGCTGTGCCAGACTGCTGCCATGCCGATGAGGGGTGTTAGCTGTGCCTGCAGGTATGTGCTTGTGTCAGACGGGAGCACAACAAAGCAGTGAAACCTGCTCAGGTCTGTGCAGGGGATGCATCTGCTGCTTCCCAAATGGCCACGGGTCCTGCTGCGTGCTCACAGAGCTGGACTTTCCAAGTGGCAATTGCTTTATGAGCGGAGCTGCTCCGTAGTGTCTTCCACAGTGACTTTCCTGGGACCTCAGCTGCGTGCATCAGGGCTTGAGGTGAAACACCTGCCCCACCTTAAGCACAGTGCTGCAGCATAAATGCTCTGAGCGCTCGGTTGCTCTGCTCCTGCCTCGAGCAGCTTTTGCTCTGATGCTCAGCTTAGCAGCGCGAATTAAAAATGTAATCACCCCTGAAAGCACCTCACCTGTGCATCCCTCATGCTGAGGATGTGGCTCTGACAGATAGAGGGTGGCCATGGGTACAAAGGCAACTCAAGGCAGTGGAGAGTGCATTTTGCTTACCAGCTCAGCACGGGCCGGATGTTGCAGAGGCAATGTTTAGAAAAATCAGTTGCTTGTTTACCAGCAGTAAGATGACCCCTGTTACTCATCACCAGGAGGACAGCACAACCAACGTGTCCCCATGTGCTGTCACCATCCACCCCCAGGGGTTCCCTTATTACAGAGCTGTGGGGATGCCCCCACAGGAGCAGAGTGCTGACGCTGCCTGGTTGCACATCGCTCCTGTTGCCTCTTCCAAAACTGTGGTTCCTGCTACAGAGCTGAGCAACGCGCCCACACACAGCCCTGCAGAACCCCATCCTGCAACCAACCACCTGTGGAGCCTGAGAGGAGCACACTGAGCCTCCGTGCTGGGCCTTTGTGTAGGCAAAGAATAGAAAATAGGAATGGCTGTGGGCTGTGCTGCTGGCTGGACAATGCAAAACAATGGGCAGTCCCCAGCCCCGTGCACTGAGACAATAACTGAACCAGTGCACTTCCTTCTGGTGGGGCTCTTTGGTTTTTATCTTTGGGAGAGGGAGTGGGTTGCACTTCAATGTTTGACAGCTTTCCTATCTGTGAGTTTAGGATCACAGCTAAGAGCGGCACACCCTGCCTCTGCATCCTGCTGGCCTGGCTTGTTCCTGAGGGGCTCTCCTGCACACTGCACGTGCTGGGGCTCTTCCTCCCTTTCTGCTTTTGCTGCATTGCATGCCTTCCTTCTTGCCGTTTTGCCAGAGTTTCTTTTGTGTGTGCTATTCTGCCTATCGGTGTCTGAAAAGCTACCTTTGCAAAACCTCCCAGTTCTCCTCCTGCCAGAAGAGCTGAAAAGCCTCGTACTTGTTGAATTTGAGAGAAGTACACATCGAGCAGTGTTTGCTCAACATGCATGGGGTAAATCCACCCGCAGAATAGGGCCTTGTGATGTGGCTAGCTGCTGTCTCTGCCCATGAAGAGCCTCATGTTTTATCACTGCTTGCTAAAATGAAATACATGGGGGAAACAGCAGAAAGGACAGCTGCTGCCTAAGGTCTTGTGTGGGGGAAATCTGCCTGTAAAGTATCTGACCAAACTGTTAAACACGTTGCATTGGACACTGCACACTTGCAAAGGACTCAGGATAAAGTCAGCACCAGGAGATCAGCAGAGATTGTGTAGCAGCAGAGAATAAGTGCTCCTTTGGCAAGGCTTGATTCCCCTGGTTGAAAAGCAGAGCTGAGGAATGTTAGCGTGCCCACCTCTCACCACCCCGACTGCACACGGAATCATGCTGCAGGTATCTGCAGATATGGCTGATAGAATAAATCAGCAGTATTTATGGCAGACACAAGCTCAGAAAAGTATCTGCCATGGAAACCGAGAATAAAACTGATGCTTCAGGAGTAAGACATCAGAAAGCTGCCAGGATGAAGAATGCGTTTTGTGAGCTCGTCTTGCATCGAGCAGTAACAAATGCCTTTGCCTCTTGGAGCTTGTCTTCCCACTTTGCATAAATTTAGTTGTGTTCAACCCTAATTGAGAGATGAAGCATGCCTCATCTGGTGTTTTTTTCTCCTACTTTTTTAATATTGCTTTCACAGCAATGCCTAGGAGGAATTATTCATGTATTGGGTTGGAGTGAAACTTCAGACACGATGTGATTCCTATCGTAGCTCTCCTGCTATTATTGTATAATTGCTTCATGAATGTAAACGCTCTGTTTCACACATTAATGGGAGGATTAATTCCAACCCACTTTTCTGTCTCTGCAGAACAGTTTAGCCAAAGCCCTAATTGTGCTCTGCTTTTCAGGACGTGATGCTTTCAGATGATCCTGCTGTGGGGCTGTCAGCAGGACGCCAGCTCTGGGTTTTGGGGTCCTCCTGCAGCAACCAGCAGTGCTCCTTGCCAGCTGACCCCACAGCTGTCCCACCCCAGGTTGTGGCCTTCAAGATGTGGGTGCTGACATGCTGACATGATTGGCTGTGCGTTACACCAACCCCAGTGCCTGAGCTGGACAGGAGCAGGGCATGGCAGGACCCCACTGCCCCATTGCAGCAGTGCAGGGCAGCCCAGTGTTGCTCCCAGAACAGCCCCATAGTGTTGGATTGCAGCTTTACAGCTGGGAGCTGCCACTGCCTTTGCCCCTCAAACCCTTGCAGAGAACCCGGTCTGCTTTTGTTGCAGCAATCCAAAATCGCTCCAAACAAGGCAAGTTGGGATGAATTGCATTTTGTGAAAGCATGTTTTGCATAGCTTTCCTTTCACCAAGCCTGCCTGAGCCTGCATGACTTGTGACATCGCCTCAGTATTGCCAGACGCAGCAATCCCAAAGACTGTTGGTGCTGGAGCAATTGCAACCCCTAAGAAGCAAAACATCGTTGTTCCCTCAGAGAGATTTCCAGGAAGGCTTCAAGTCCTCCAGGATGCTGTTGTTCCCGAAGGAAAGAGCTGAAGCTGCTCACAAACCTCCCGAGGTTTTAGGAGGGCAGCAGACATCAGAGCAGGATGGCACTGTGCTCAGCTGCCAGCGGAACACGAGCAGCTGTTGGTTCTGGCAGTCGGGATGGAATAAGGAAGCAGACCTGAGACAGCTCAAACAAGGGGGTGGGAGCTCAGTCAGTGCTCGATGGCACCAATTGTTATCAGATTCATTGGCCAGAAGGAATTCAGATGTAATAAATTCAGGGGGAAAAAAAAAATGGGAACTAGCCAACTCACCCTAGAGAATGGAGTTTTCTGCCTTTCAGACCAGCTGCCTTGAGAACAGCAGTGAGCTGTTAAACCATGTTACTTTCCTCATAAAGAAA